TAGATCCCTCAGCTATATAAGGAGCCTCCCAGCTCTCAAAATCGGTCACTCCTTCTTTGTGGAAACCCTAGGGCCGAAAATTGCATACTCTCTCTACCCTCTCTCCTTCAAGTTTCCTTCTTGCTAGTTCTTGGGTGTGATTCCATTAGAGGCATTACATTTATGGTGCTAAGCTTCCAAGAAGATCAAGATCAAGATCAAGAGGATTATCAATTGTTTGCTATAACAATTGAAAGGTATGTAACTCTTAAACCCTAGTTTGTTAATTTCGAAATTAGCCTCTCTCCTCTAGGGTTCTTGTTTGCAATTCAAAGTTATATGTTCAATAGTTAAAACATAGATCCAAAGTAGGTTGCATGTGAACTTAGGAATTGTTTTTCTAGTTTATTTGTTTTACCCAAAACCCATCAGTGGTATCAGAGCCATTGTTTGTTTTAAATTGAATTGCTATAATAGTTGAATTGCAAATTAGGGTTTATAGCCATTAAACCCTAAAGGCCAAAATTTTCGATTTTAGGGTTTTGGTGCAAAGATTTTTCGAAAAACCCTAGCCTCCATGAACCCTAATCGAAATTAGGGTTAGGGTTTTGGAAACCCTTGCCTCCTCCCTTAAAATTTGAAATTATGCTTATCCCTTTTAGGGTTTCTTTGTTTTGGATAATAGTTGCCTTATTGGATAATTAAGAAAAATAAGGAAATTATCCTATCCCCATATTTTCGAAATCAAGAAGGGATATGGATTAGGATTAAATTAATTGTTTAATTTAATTAGATAATCCTTACAAGATTTAATAAATTAGTTAAAAGTTAATTAATAGATAAATATTAAATCTAGTTATTTGGTTTATTTTAAATTTAAATTAATAGTTTTAATTTTTCGAAATTTATATATAAACCTTAAAGTTTTAAAAAGTTTAAAACACACCTTATATATGTATTATAATTAAAAGTTAAATATTATATATGTATAAGAATATGGTCAGTCAAATCGCTAGTATGCCTCATTCACGAAGCTAGTCTATAAGGGGGGTATAAGGAAACTGCCTATAAAATGGTAGTTGAATGGGTGTCCACTCTCACCCACCGCTTCCTTGATTAGTGGAGGGTCGTTAGCAGAACGGGTTTGATAGGACAACTACATCTCATTAAAAGTATAATGTTATTAAAGAAAGTACTAGAACATTATTTTACAAAATCCCAACTCTAGTTACTTTAGAAAAAATGTGAAAAGTGTGCTAATCCATGAAATTGCACATTATGCTTTATTGGTCGTTAGTGGAGCGTGTGTGGTTAACCAGCACACTAAAAGGCACTAATAAAGAGTAGTAATGGGTATCTAATAATTGTCATTTTGATGGAGCGTGTGTGGTTTACCAGCACATCAATAGTTAATGATAAAGGGCAATGAGGTTACCAAGCACATTTGCATGGTTATTCACATCTTGTTTGTGATCCTCGGCATCCCAGTCACAAATAGAAGAGCATAATCCGAGATTTAAACATGCCATTGAAAAGTTCAATGAATCTCAAAAGATCTAGGAGTTTCCAATACATTTAAAACTTAACCTTCTTTTTCGTTTTTATGGTGGAAATTGGTAAATCGTCATTTACCTACCTTCAAATATTCTGCAACTAGATTACGACATCCCTCTTCTAGGTGTAGAGTATTGTGTTGGATCCTAGCCTTGATGTTTCATTTGGGTGTTACATCAAGGATTCTAATCAAATTGACTTGAATTTCTCCCATTTTGTAGATGTCTGAATCTAACAATGGTCTTCCCAAATCCATTGGAACAAGCTTTCCAAATGAAGATGGCGTTCCAAGATATGATCAAGGAAATGAGAGTCATGCTTCACTTCCTCCACCTCCTCCAATTGTTCTCCCTGACCCACAAGTTCAAAGGCTTGAAAAGTTCAAGCTCACTCAATCCCTATTGGCAAGTAAGCACGAAGATGGGAAACATGTGTGTGCACACGTCTTAGAGATGAAGTCACACATTGATAGGGGATGTTGGGTGTCGATATCTCAGAGATGTTGGCTGTTGACTGGGTTATTCAGTCACTTCCTGATTCGTATAGTGAGTTCGTAAGAGAGTACTATACGATGGTTCACGACGTTGACCCTCATTGATTTGACCTATTTGCTGATAGCAGCTGAATCAGCAATGATCTGGCGTACTGATCAAGCAAATTTGTCTTGTGAATCAAACTCCCAAACTTCAATGGACATTGAAAATGGTGACATTGGAAATCCAGAAAAGGTAAATTCTGAGATAGTTCCTTGTGTTATTCCAAAAGATTCCATTTGTTTCTATTGCCAAGAGAAGGGGCATAGGAGACGAAGCTGCCCTATTTACCTGAGAGATCTAAGAGATGGGAGAGTCAAGACGTATGGCTCTGCTTTAGGTAAAATCCACTATCTAACTCCATTAAGTTCCTATTCATTGATTCTTAATACATAATGTGATAAGAATACATTTGAATGTTTTGCAGGATCAGAGAAAAGAGAGGAAGCTTGATGGAAAAGCAAGATGAGTCTGATCACGAAGAAATGGATCACGATCGCATGGATTCGAAGATCAGATTTTGAGCTTAGAAAATTATGATAGATTTGTTAGGAATATTTTATTACATAGTTTTTCAGTTGATTTTGCATTGTAAGGACATGTTTTCCGCTGCTTTTATGAATAAAATAAAATTTTTGGTTTGAATAATTTTATATATCCTTGCAATGAAATCGTTATGAAAAATTGATGTTTGTGTATTGTTATCAATAATGGATTTGATTCTTAATTATGTTATTTGTGGAAATGTCGAGAATTTGCCAAATAAAGGAAGATTCTCATCGCCCAAGTTTCAGTTGGACAGAAACTTGGAGTCATGCAACTGGGTTGCGTGATGAATGAGAAACTTCATAGTTGGAAATTAGACTAATTCTTTGACAAAGTGTCAAGAGAAAGACTAGGAGATCGAGTACACTAGGTTGTGCATTGATCAAGTCCACCACAAGAGTGATAAAGATATTCGTCATGATTTACTAAAGTTTAGTGAATATGGTTATACTTATAAGATTAAGTATAATTCTGAGTTGATTGAAAGAGTTTCAATAAATAGCAGAACGAATAAGAAGAATCAAGTAGGCAGAAAGAAAAAAAGTTCCTCTATTCTAAGAAGAAGGGAGAGTACCTTTTATTGTGTTTTATGATAAGTCTTAATGATTAAAAAAAACCATATCTCAATTGATCCTCCAAGTGAGTCTTAGTGCATTTGTATGTCCAAGAAGAGGAATCGAGAATTGTAGAAATGGTTAAAATCAAGAAGTCAATCATACTTCGTTCCAATATCAAGTCTTAGAATTATATTCCAAGATTGTGAATTGAGTGACAAGTCTTAAGTAGGTTTATAACACTCATCAAATGTGGAGTTTGGAAAAATGCTTTCTTATTCTTGCACATTTGAAATTGGTAAGCTGTGCTGTCTTGGATAAGACAAAGACCAACTAGGACCAATTATGTGAAGTGTTTTGTCTTGATAAGAACTACACTAACTCTTGAATATTTGTTTTGTCTAGGAAAGGTTCCTGACAAGAGAATCATATATGTCAAGATGTCAGTGGGAGTCTCAATTGTCTTGAAAAGTTTCAAGAACAAATCAAGAATAAACCGATAGTTAATCACTAGCACACGACTTGAGGTTTCTAACCTATCGTGTTCACATATTATTGTTTTTGTGCCATTCCAGGTTGGTCAACTATGCATGTGAGTTCTATGAGATCTCAATGGGTTGCATAGGGACAAGGCACTTTGATCGATGGAAAGTACATTGAAAGCTAGGGGTGAGTTGCTAAATAACTTGGAAGCAAAGGTGGGACCCTTGATGGCAAGAAATTAAGAATGGACAAGTTCGGTCCATAAGAGTTTGGATTTGAATCGGATATGATGATAGTTGCTGCTTATATGTAAATCTCGGATGAAGATCGATTGATGAGGGAGGAGGTGTCGACTGTTGTGGTGATGGAGGTGTAAATCCGACGGTAGCAATTAAAGGGCAACAAAATGGGGAATATCTACTGGTACAGGGAAAGAAAATAAATGGGGAAGACAGTGGCGTTTAAAACCGATGGGGAAGAAGAGGGGATAGGTTTATTAGGGTTTTTTATTTATTTTTATTTTTTTTCTTTTTATATGATAAGATTAGTTTAAAAAAAATTAGAATTAGTTATTGAAATCATCTCTATAGTTTGACAAAATTATGTGTTTGGTCCCTAACTTTTGTTTTGCAATCGAATCGTTCTTACAATTATATTTTGTTGCGTTCTTCGTCCATGACCAACATGAAAAGACATTTTCCCCTGATTTAGGTTTTTTATTATTGGCTTTATGTTTATTAATAATAAATAAAATGAAATGGACCCATTTCACAACCCATCCCTCTCCCATTTCTCATAATATACCAGATCTCTCCTCTAAACTACCTCCCTTGTCGGAACTAATGTGTTGTTTGTTTTTTTGAAGCAAAAATTCATGAAGACTGCGGACCACCTTTGTAACCCTCTGCAACCCTCTGCAGTAGAAGAAATGGACCAAACAGTTGTAGACTGTAATAAGAAGTGTGTTTGTTTTTTTTAACATGTGCATGCTGTTGCAGATATTAAAAAATTAAAATAAACTGATTTTATAAACCAAAATAGTTTTTTAATACTGAAAAATTAATAATGTATGACATTTCAGCAAAAAATTTATGATATTTTAACAAAAATAATGATATTTCAACAAAAAAATAAATATATGTTAGCAAAAAATAATGATATTTCATCAAGAAATTATCATTATTCAATATAAAAAATCGAAACCACAAAAGAATTCCACAATAATAAACAAAAAAAAAAAAAAAAAAAAAAACGTAAAATAAGATTTCAGCAACATATAATCAAGAATTCAACAAGTAAAAAGAAGAAGAAGATGTTGGAAGAGGAAATACAAGTGTTGCGCCAAACAGAACACACACATAAGTTTTTTATTCTGAAGACTTCTAAAAAACAAACAACTGCGAGATCAAAAGTGTTGCGCGTGTGCTGCACCGCGCAACAATAAGAATTCTGAAAAAGTTTTTTTTTACAAAATTCAAGAAGCACCTAAATCTCTCTACCACAATCGCTTTGGTGGTTGTTTCTTTCCACCTCCGCATATGCAGCACAGTGCTAGAGCATCTCACACTCTTGTGCCTGCTTCTTTTTGTACACATGAGTTTCATCCCCACTATTCCATAAATCTAATACTACCCTACCCCGGCACCTTTAAACTTCAGTGTTTCTTTCTTCTCATGCCTTTCTTCTTACCTAGACACCTCTTAGCTCTGGCGAACACAACTCAACGAAAACCAGGACTCCACCGCTGCTATTGAAATCATTGCATCTCTCATTCTTCTTCTTTCTCCTTTATTTCCTTTCATGTTCCACTTATCTTTCCATTCCCCTTCCCTGTAATCAAGAAACAAAATTCAAATCAATTCGAAGTAGAAATAAATAAATAAATAACTAAACTCAAGCTAAAATAAAAAACCAAAAAAAAAGTGAAATAAGAATTCCCAAAAAAAAAAAAATGAATTCCCGAGTGATTCTTGGTGTTTTGTAATTAATAATGAAATCAAAACCAAAATTCTGAAATCTTGAAAATTAAACATGAACTCAAATTGAATGATAAAGAACACACCCTCTCTGATTCTCGAACCCGAAAAAAAAAAACAAAAACCCTAAATCTAATTTCATCCCCTGTAAAGCAGAATCAGAATAGGAGAAAAATACCTTGTTTTCTGCAAACCCTAGAAGGAAATTGATGATGAAGTGGGTGTGAGGTGAACGTAACGATAATGTGAGGCAATCAACACTCCAAAACCCCTATGACACTGAAAACTATATCAGAACTGAGGATTCGAGATGATGGGGATAAGGGAAGAAAGACAAGAGCAAATGGAAATGATCATAAATTTGTCCGCTATTGAAGTCATAACTTGGGCATGCACTACTCACCGATCTCCGGTCACTCTTTGGTCTCCTTCGCCATGATCCAACGATACAACGATTGGTGGGTAAAAGGGTGAGGTGACAAAATGGTAATCCCGTCGCTTCACCATTAAAGTTTAGAAATAACAAACAAAAAAAATTGAAAAAGAAAATATAAAGGGCAAAGTAGTCATTTCATATTGGTAAGGGACTAAAAACACAATAAAAAAAACTATAGGGACGCTCGTAGTGCAAAACAAAATATGGGACCAAACATGAAAATTTTGCAAACTATAGGCACGATTTCAGTATTTGTTCAAGAAGTTATAAAATAAAATAAAAACAGGTATAAAAGTCATTTTAGGTGGAACTGGGACCAACTACAATAGTAATTGAAACCACATGGACCATTTATGAGACCGTAAAAAGTTACAGATTAAACTTGATATTTTGCGAAACCACATGAATTATTTTTGAAGATTTGTATTTTTTTTCATACACAAGCACGACTTGAAACCTTAATATTTGGTTGAGGGACACATATCCGTCAACTCCAGATACTGCTACACCAAATGCCAATTGGTAAAAAAAATATTCTTAAGACAAAAGTCCAAAAATGGTCCCTATTGTTTGCATTTTTTCTGAGGTTTGGTTCAAACCTCGATTTTTTTTATTAAGCTCCTTTTGAGCTACTTTTTTTTATGTTTTGGTCTCCCAGAAACTTAAAAGAATAAAATGCCCTTTTATTTTTATTTTTATATTTTTTAATACTTATTTTATCTTTTATTAATTAAAAAACAAAAAGGACTCTCCTCTCTCTTTCTCTCTCTCTCTCTAAAAAATTTGGTTACGTATGGATAAGAAAAAACCATCTCAAAAATAAGATCTTTCACTTCTTTAATTTAAGAACCTATTTACAAAATTAACAAAAATATATGCAGAACAAGTTCCAAAAGGGGGACAAGGTGACGCATGTTTTAGAAATTGGTGGTTTCAACCTTTCCACGGGCCTTCAAGAAATTGAGATCTGAAATGATGGTGATGAACAACTGTCTAAAAATCGGACCTTTATCATATACACACATTGATGAACCTAGAGGTCGACATCACCAGACCATCTGAAAATCCTATGTCTCGGACCTATCTCACGTTTCGATTCAACAACCCATCTCACATTTACGATCATTCGACTTTAATTTTCTGTTCCCTAACCCTGTTCTTTCGATTCAACAACCCATCTCACATTTACAATCATTCTACCATTGACCATATTTATCTTGAGCTCCTTTCTCAAGATTCAAAGGTCTCACCATCTCCATTTAAAAGTCACTTACTCTCTCAGGTTATTCAACTCACAAGCTTTGTCTATGTATTATTTATTTAACCCCAATTCAGATTATGATCATTTATCACTGCCTTATATTTCTCTAATCAATTTAGGGCTCCACAAGTGGGTATGGTCGAGAGAGGTATCATGATTGCTGACTTTTGATTTGTTCTTCATAGATCTTGTTCCAACAATGACATTTTCAAGAAATAGTTGCACGTGGGTCTATGACCACCGTGTTTTGTAAGACCGTAAATTTTCAACAAAATTTTTCATTTTCAAAACCACAAAATCTCAATATCACATTCCAAAAACCACAATTGTCAAATTGTCAAAAACACAAATTCACAAATTGTTTGATAAAATCCATGATCCTCAAAGAAAACATGAACTCCATTTTGTGTGTACAATCAAGTCGGCACCTTTCCGTGATCCTAAGAAGTACCTAAAACACATAACACATAACACGGTAAGCACGAAGCTTAGTGAGTTCCCCAAAATACCACACATAACTCGTTAGCCTCTCATGGCTATATCTCAAATAAGACCCTCTGGTTGATGTGTCTCAGTGGGACCCTCCGGTCCCACAGCTCGGGTGGACCCTCCGGTCCTAACTCAGTAAAGCTCAACATAATACACACCATAAATCACAAAGACATAATGCAGGATATCACAATACTCAATATAAGCACACAATATCGGTCACACAAAATTACCACTCAAGGTAAGTATAGTGAGAAGACTCACCTCGTAAGCAAGAAAATAAACCTCGTACACGAATCACTGATCTAGCCTCCGCCTAACACATACAATAATTATCTCTAATTAACACTTAAATCACAACTCCAAATAAACTAAGTCATTTTCTCTCTCTAATCTCTTGGAATGGGTAAAAGACCATTCTACCCCTCTATGGTCTCCATATTCCCTGTCTTGACCAAACCCTAAGGTCAACTGAAGTCAACACTCGAGTCAATAGTCCATGTTGACCCGACTCGTCGAGTGCATCTATGTCACTCGTCGAGTCCCCTTGTTCCTTCAGAAATGTCGTGAAAACTCAATTTAACTCGGCAAGTTGTCTCATCAACTCGCCGAGTTACTCCTGTCCAGACTCGTTGGGGAAAACCCTAGCCAACTCGTCGAGTTGGTTCATCAACTCGGCGAGTCCCTTAAGTCTCTTTTTTCATTCAGACTTTTTAAGGCAAAGTTATAACCCCAAACTCTAGATCTAGCCTCCCAAGGTTGAGATACCACGTAAAGCTGTAAGCTATACGTCCATGCCTGGCACTTAGGGCTTGAAATGCCAAAACCACTTCCATTTAGGGTCCTAAGAAATAAAATTCTCATCTAGCTTGATAAAGCTTGGACCTTTGGGCTTAAGGTACCTCACAAGGTCCAGATATGAAGTCTCAATCTCTTGGCAAGCTCAAAATTCTCATAGTCTCAAGGGAAGATGGAAAAAGCCCTAAAAACTCCCTAGAAACGAGACCTAATAAAAAGATGAGCAAGGTGGTGACTTTTACCTTCCAACAGAAGCTAAGGAGTGGATGAACACCGGATCCAACAATCCCTTCTCGTTCCTTGCTTGATACTATTCTCTTCTCTTCTACTAGTGCACTAAAATGCCCAAAGATTATCTCTCTTTTTCTCTTAGATCGATATAGATGATTAGGGTTTCACACAGGGGAGTATGCTGGCTGGTGAGGCGGAAATGAGGGCTTAACGTCCATTAAATAGGAAACAACCCCGAATATTTAGGGTTTCCTCTCACATCGCCAACTCGTCGAGTTGGTCCCTCCGACTCGTCGAGTTGGTCAATAAACCCACGCGGCCAAATCCGTCTCTACTCGACGAGTTGGGGCATCCAACTCCTCGATTTGCTCAATCAACTCATAAAATATATATAAATATTATACCTGGTGGTCGGGACGTTATAATTATCCACCACTAGAATCAGACTTCTCCCTCGAATTAATGCTCCGGAAACAACTCTAGGCACTGCTCGCGCATCTCGGACTCCGGCTCCCAAGTTCACTCGGATCGCCTGCGGTGCTCCCACTGCACCTTAACCAGCCGCACCTCCTTGTTCCTCATGGTCTTAACTTTTCTATCCAAAATCGTTGTCGGTCTCTCAATATAGTTCATGCTTGCAATAACCTGAATGTCCTCTAACTGTACCACTGCCACCAATCTCTCTCTGTCCCAACTTGCCCCGCTTCCACCGAAGTCCATAACACATGCACCAAAATATCTGACCTGGAACTCTAGCTCGGATCGTCGCCAGTCTGCGTAACTCTTCTGGCGACTCTGTGCCGTCAGTAACCTCTGCCTGAGCTGCCGAATCTGCTCGATCGTCTTGAGCAGTATCTCAGTGCCACCAATTTCTCTCTGTCCCACCTCTCCTCAACAGATGGAATTCTAACACCGCCTCCCATATAAGAGCTCAAAGAGAGGCATACCAATACTGGAATGATGGATGTTGTTGTACGAAAGCTCAGCCAAGGGCAAATAGGTGTCCCAACTTCCACCAAAGTCCATAACACATGCACCCAGCATGTCCTCAAGCGTCTGAATCGTCCAGTCACTTTGCCCGTCTGTCTGTGGGTGGTATGCGCTCTGAAGTGCAACCGGGTACCCAACTCCTCATGAAACTTCTTCAAGAACCTAGAGTAAATCGCACATCTCGATCCGACACTATCGATGTCGGCACTCCATGCCGTGTTACCACCTCTCTCACATAAATCTCGGCTAATTTCTCTGCAGAAGAGTTCTCACTGATAGCCAAAAAGTGAGCACTCTTCGTCAACCGGTCCACAATCACCCATATCGCGTCAACACCTCGCGCGGTTCTCGGTAAATTGGTGATAAAATCCATGAAAATTTGTTCCCACTTCCACTGGGGAATCTCTAGAGGCTGCAACGGGCAATGTGGACGCTGGTGCTCCGCCTTAACCTGACGACTGGTCAAACACCTCTCGACTACACATGCCACATCTCTCTTCATACAGGGCCATCAATAATCCCTGTTTAGATCCAAATACATCTTAGTGGATCCTGGATGGATCAAGAATCTCGATCTATGTGCATCCTCTATCATTATGCGCGTGAGCTCCACCTGTATAGGGCACCCAAACCCGCCCACAGAAAGTCATGAGCCCCGACTATCTGTCTCAAACTCGGAAACCTGTCCAATCACTCGCTCCCTCTTGAGTTTTTATGGCCTCACAGCCTCCACCTGAGCCTCTCGGATGGTATCTAGGACTGGATCATCACCGTCATCCTCATACACACGTCTTGAATCAGAGCACCCTCTGATCTACGGCTCAAGGAATCAGCGACCACATTAGCCTTGCCTGGGTGATATATGATCTCGCAATCGTAGTCTTTCACTACATCCAACCACCTTCTCTATCTCATATTCAAGTTGGGCTGATCCATGAGGTACTTCAGACTCTTATGGTCCGTGTATATGGTGTACCGGACTCCATACAGATAGTGGCGCCAAATCATGAGGGCGGACACCACTGCCCCCAGCTCCAAATCGTGGGTGGGATCCCTCGTCTCATGAGGCTTCAACTGTCTCGATTCATATGCTATCACATGCCCCCTTTGCATTAACACTGCACCCATCCTTGATATAGATTCATCACAGAAAACTATAAAGTCCTCCACTCCCTCGGGAAGGGCTAACATTGGAGCTTCGCATAATCTCTGGTGAAGAGTCTCGAATAACGCCTGCTGCTCGGGGCCCCAAGCAAAAGTAACACCCTTCCGGGTCAATCTGGTAAGAGGAACAACAATCTTGGAGAAATATCTAATAAATACTCCATCTGTCCCATATTAATAGTCCATGTTTCCTTTTTGGTTTGTCCCAAAATAATTGCCCACTTCTAAAAATAAATATGTCTTTTACCATAATACCCCTCATTATTAGTTAAATTACCATAAAATTAAATGCAACTACCATATAATTAAATGCAAGAGAAGGGTAAGACTGTCATTTCATTTAATAAAGTTAATAGTAATTAATGTTTTCTTAAACTGTGTGTTTTTTGTCTGTGGACTATTATTTTGGGACGGAGGGAGTATGTTGGATTAGGTGTCTAAGCCCATAACTATAATTGGTATGTACTTGACCCGAGAGTAGCATGGTCCATTTGGGTTGCATATCACCAGGACAATTTGATAGGATGGACTTTTGAGAAGAGGTAATTTATGATTTGTTAATATATTATAAGTTCTAATATATTAATATGAAATCATATTATTTAATTAGTATTGATCAAGAATTAATTTCGAATTAATTTAGTGATCAAAAGAGACTAATTAAATGTAAGGGGATTGATTTGGTAAATCAATCATTCTTATGGTGTGGGCTTATGGTTATTTAGGATGGGCTAAACCAATATGGTAGTCCATGGATAGTCCATGGAGGTTTTAACCCATGGATCCTAAGTAATATGAAAAGTCATTCACATTAGGGTTTACATGGATGTAACCCTAATCCTAGCCATACTATATAAAAGTCCCTTAGCATCCAAAATGACACACTAGTGATCCTTGGAGTTCCATGAGCTGATTTTAGGTGTAAGAATATTATCTCAAAAGTCATCCTTTGTCTAAAGGTGTGGTGTGATTCCATTTGAGGTGCAACACTTGGGGCACTAAGTTCTTAAAGGCCAAACTCAAGAAGTTCTACAAGCTACAACAAAGAGGTAACTCTATAACTCCCTTTTATGTTGATTATATCATTTTGTATGCTAGTTGTAGGCTTAATGCTTTAGAAACAATATTGCATGTATAATTAGAGAAAGCATAGATCCAAAGCATTTAGGGTTGTATGTGCACCATAGGATGTTGTAGTGTACTAAAACCCATCGGTGGTATCAGAGCCTAGGATTGTTTTCCATTATACTTGATGTTTTATTGGTTTTCAAAGTGAAAAAATCGAATTTTCTGCCTTCTGCCCAATGAACTCGCCGAGTCCACTGG